AGACGCACACTATTATGAACCCCAAGCACAAATATTAACACACACTCACATACACATCCTTTATTCACCAGTGATATTTTTAAACAGAGACGCATCTGTGCTCAGATGGAAACACACACACACACACACACACACACACACACACACACACACACACTCATAGACATGCAGACACAGAGTCATCCGCAACACACACACACACACATGCACACACACACACACACACAGCTGTCTTGACCTTGCTACAGTAACTCCAGCTGTCCTCCAGAGAGTGTCTGCTGCAGTAAACACACTCATCAGTGTGTCAGTAATGTGTGTATTGTGTGTTTCAGCTGTGATCTGCACGTCTCCACTGCTGCTGAGGTCACTGTGACCCGCAGAGGAAACACCGGCATTTAACACACACACACACACACACACCTGCAGCAGGCGAGCAACAACAACATCTCTTAGTAACATAATAATCAGAAACGTTTCTCCATCATCAAATCCTCATCAGACTGATTTCTGAATGATTATATGACAGTACTGGAGAAACTCTGCTGAAGTTCAGCTTGATATCACAGCAATACAGAGCTGTCTCCAGTATATTTAAACAGAGATGCTATTTTAAGTAAGGGATAATGTAGATGCAGCAGGTTGCCATCACTGATTGAAGCCTGACTGGTTTTTCAGCGGCACAAAACTACTCTATTAGACACGAAACACTGATCTGAGATGACAAAGTTTTAGTTTACTGACTCTTTCACTAAACTTCAAGCTTGAAGAAAGAAAAAAATGCTTTAATGCAGCCTACAGGAACCCGTTTATTATTATTCAGTCACAAGAGGGAGCCAAACTGTAAAGAACAGCATGGAACTGGAAGATTGGATGGATGGACAGACGGACAGATGGAAGGAACCAATGCTGGATGAAGGCATGGATAGAGGAAAAAATGGATGGGTGGGTGGAGGAATGCATGGATGGGAGGGAGTGAAGGATGGATGCATGGAAGCATGGATGGGTGGAGGAATGCATGGATGGGAGGGAGTGAAGGATGGATGCATGGAAGCATGGATGGGTGGAGGAATGCATGGATGCAGGAATGCATGCATAGATGGAGGAATGCGTGGATAGAGGGATGCATGGAGGAATGCATGGATGGACAGTTGCATGAATGGATGGATAGATGGATGGAGGAAGGCATGGATGGAGAGATAGATGGATGGAGGAATGCATGGATGGAGGAAGGCATGGATGGAGGGATAGATGGATGGAGGAAGGCATAGATGGAGGGATAGATGGATGGAGGAATGCATGGATGGAGGAAGGCATGGATGGGTGAAGGACTGCAAGGATGAATGCATGGACGGAGGGAGTGAGGGATGGATGCATGGATGAAGCAATGAATGCATGGATGAAGGGATGGATGGAGGAATGCATGCATAGATGGAGGGATGGATGGATGAAGGCACGGATGGAGGAACACATGCATGGATGGAGGGATGGATGGAGAAAGGCATGGATGGGTGAAGGAATGCATGGATGAATGCATGGACGGAGGGAGTGAGGGATGGATGCATGGATGAAGCAATTAATGCATGGATGAAAGGATGGATGGATGAAGGCACGGATGGAGGAACGCATGCATGGAGGGATGGATGGATGGAGAAAGGCATGGATGGAGGAACACATGCATGGATGGAGGGAATGAGGGATGAATGCATGGAGAAAGTGGTTGCTAGGGTGCTGCTAAGGTATAATGGACAGATGAATAGCAGCTTAATTGGTTGTTATCTGGGAATATCATAACTTGTGTGTAACTGACCAATCAGAATCAAGTGTTAAAGACAGCATCATGTGGCTTCTATCAGCGATCACACAAGACCTCTGATGACCATACTCCTGTCATCATTTACTCGTAACCATTGACTTCCTTAGTCATTGTTTTTCCTACTATGGAAGTCAATGGTTACAGGTTGTCAGCATTCTTCAGAGTATCTTCTTTTGTGTTGAACAGAAGACAGAAACTCCTAAAGCTTGGGATCCACTAGTGTGAGTAAATCTTCATTTAGGACCCTCTAACACTGACGCTCAGTAAACTCACCGGCTTCTTTGCAGACGGCAGCGAGGTCTGCTCCCACGTACCCGTGTGCTGCATCTGCCAGCTCCTGCAGCTCCTCATGTGTGGCGTCGCATGGCACGGAGCGCAACAGCGTCTGCAGGATATCCCTCCGCCCGTCCACATTAGGAACGCCGATCTCCAGCTCCTTATCGAAGCGTCCGGGTCTCCGCAGCGCAGGATCCAGAGCGTGAGGACGATTGGTGGCTCCCAGAACCAGCAGCTGCCCACTGTGACCCTCCTGAGAAACACACACACACACACACAGGTACACAAAGCAGTTGAGAGAACTGACCCAGAGACCCCGGCCCCTGAGATTCAGAGGATTTAAGAATGCATATAGCTAATGAAGATGTCCGACACACAGATGGAGACTCACCGATCCGATGCCGTCCATGAGTGTGAGCAGCGTGGCCACCACCCGCTTCTCCACCTCATTCTGAGCTCCTTCTCTTTTAGGACACAGAGCATCCAACTCATCGATGAAGATGATGGACGGCTGCCTGACACACACACACACACAAAGATGAACACACAAACACACACACAGACATTTATACATAAACACAAAAAAATTCACACACACACACACATATATATTTGGACATACAAACACAAAAGCAAAATTCTCACACACACACACACACACTTAAACATACAGACAAAAAATTAAATCCACACATACTCAAACAAACAAATTTATACAGACACACACACAGACATTTATAGACACACACACACACACACACACACACACACACACACACACACACACAGATACATTATCAGTGCAGTGTGTTGCACCTCTGTGCCGCCTCAGTGAAGATCTGCCTCAGTCTGGCTTCAGTTTCTCCATAAAACCTGCAGAGGGCAGCAGAAACAGCTTCACATTAATCAGAGGATGTTTCTTTAAATATTCACTCACCGGCCACTTTATTAGGTACACCTTCACAAGTACAGTGTTGGACCCCTTTTGCCTTCAGAACTGCCCTAATCAACAACATCCCAAAGCTGCTCTATTGGATTGAGCTCCGGTGACTGTGGAGGCCTTTTGAGTACAGTGTACTCATCGTCATGTTCAAGAAACCAGTCTGAGATGATTGATGTGCGTGAAAATCCCAGTAGATCAGCAGTTTCTGAAATACTCAGAGCAGCCCGTCTGGCAGCAACAACCATGCCACGTTCAGAGTTTCTTAAATCCCCTTTCTTCCCCATTCTGATGCTCACTTTGAACTGCAGCAGATCGTCTCGACCATGTCTACATGCCGAAATGCAGTGAGCTGCCGCCATGTGATTGGCTGATTAGAAATTTGCATTAATAAGCAGTTGGACAGGTGTACCTAATAAAGTGGCCGGTCGACAACAGATTTAAATGAGTGAATTAGAGAGGAAATTAATGTTTCGGTCACACACTTGCTCATGATCTCAGGGCCGTTGATGACACTCATGTGAGCTCCGACTTCATTGGCTACGGCTCGACCAATCAGAGTCTTGCCTGTGCCAGGCGGCCCATACAGCAGCACTCCTCGAGGCGGCGGGATTCCTGTGGAGATTATTAATGTTATTATGTCACGTATACTAGTGTAGTTTTAACATTAGTTTAAATTAATTCTTTGTTTAAATGAAGTTATTGTTTAATACTTGGCATTTCAGTGAATCTCTTTCTGACCCTTGACATTTATAATGTTTTATTTAATCTTTATTTTACGCTTAGCTTGAAATAAACTCTTTTGGTGCCGTGTCTGTATTTCAGAATCAAGAAAATTCTTTTTGTTTAGTTGAACTTCTTCATTTTATTTTCAGATTTTACTTTCAATGTGGAAAGGTCAAAGGTCAGAGGGTGTGCTGTGACCTCTGACCTCCCTCACCGTAGCTCTTGAAGAGTTCTGGGTGTTTAAGCGGCAGTTCGATGGTCTCTCTGATGACCTCCAGCTGACCTCTGAGGCCTCCGATCATACTGTAGGTGACCTTTGACCCCTGATCCTGCTCGTCCCGCAGGTCAACCTCAGACAGGCTCAGATTGGTGGAGCTGCAGACGCTGTAGAAGGAGCCGGCGGCGGACCGGCCTAGAGGGGATACAGGGAAAAATTATTAATATTTATCAAATTATAAATTAAATGATATTTTGTTTCCATCTATCCTGACTCCAATCATCAGTACCCCACCCCCCCCCAGTACTGTAAAACACTAATTACACCAAGTATTATTGATAATATTTAATAAATTACCCATTAAATTGTATTTTATCAATGTCTACCCCTACCCCAAGCCTCACAGTAATGTAAAAACAACGATTATACATAGTTTTATTCATAATATTTATAACATTTCTCATTAATTGTATTTTATTAACATCTACCCCCACCCATATCCTCACAGTAATGTAAAAATATGAATTATTGTTGTAGAGTGTCATATGAATTCTGCTCTACTGATGTATCTACAGCTGTATCTCTTCTAGACTTTACCTCCCGCAGATGGAGACCCAGCAGAGGTAAAGGACGAATCGCTCAGATCTCCAGGTGTAGAAGGGGTCAGAGGTGAAAGGTCATCTGATGGGTCAGAAGCAAGCTTATTTTAGTAAGAGAACACTTATTCATTTATTTTATAAATTAAAAGTCCCTGTGCATAAACCCATTGCTTTGTTGTTACTGCAAACAAATACAAATTAAAGGTCCCTGTGCATATAACCCATTGCTTTCTTATTGTAAACAAATACAAATTCATTTTCCCAGTGCATGTACCCCATTGCTTGGTCGTCATTGCAAACAATTACAAATAAAAGTCTCAGTGCATATACGTCATTGCTTTGTTGTTATTGCAAACAGCTGTATCTCTTTTAGACTTTATCTCCCGCAGACGAAGAATCAGCAGAGATGAAGTTAAAAGTCCCAGTGCATACACGTCATAGCTTTGTTGTTTTTGCTAGCAAATACAAGTTAAAAGTCGCTGTGCATATACGTCATTGGTTTGTTATAGCAATAAATACTAATTCAAATTAAGTCTTCGTGCATAAACCCTATTGGTTTGTTGTTATTGCAAACAAATACTAATTAAAAGTCCCTGTGCATATACACATTGCTTTGTTGGTATTGCAAACAAATTAAAAGTCCCTGTGCATATACTCATTGCTTTGTTGTTATTGCAAAAACAAATACAAATTAAAAGTCCCTGTGCATATACTCATTGATTTGTTGTTATTGCAAAAACAATTACAAATTAAAAGTCCCTGTGCATATACCCATTGATTTGTTGGTATTGCAAAAATAAATACAAATTAAAAGTCCCTGTGCATATACTCATTGCTTTGTTGGTATTGCGAAAAATAAATACAAATTAAATGTGCATATACCCCATTGAATTGCATTGAATTGAACACTGACCATGTTGAGTTGTGCTGATGGAGAGCTGCTGGAGCTGTGAGGACAGATCTCGAGCGACTCCGTCTGAACACTGAGTTTCTCCATCCACACCCT